CCTGCTCTGTGAGTGATGGGGGAAATGCCCCAAACCCCTGATTGGCCCTGCTCTGTGCATGACAGGGGGTGGCACCACACCCTCCCCATCGCCCCTGCCTTGAGTGTGACAGGGGATGGTGCCCCAACCCCCCAATCCGCCCTACCCTGAGTGTGACTGAGGGTGGAATCACAACCTCCCAATCTGCCCTGCTCTGTGCATGACAGGGGGCGGCGCCCCAACTCCCCAATCGGTCCTGCTCTGAGCCCGACCAGGGGCTGCACCTAGGGATTGGGCCTGCCCTCTGCCACCCGGAAGCAGGCCTAAGCCAGCAGGTCGTTATCTCCCAAGGGGTCCCAGACTGCGAGAGGGCACAGGCCAGGCTGAGGGACTCCTCCCTCCCCGCCGAGTGCACAAATTTTTGTGCACCAGGCCTCTGGTACTATTAAATAACAGAATATGTCCATGTCTACCTTATCCCCAATAAACAACTGAAAAACCATGTGAAAACAATGGCTGTTCCTCAGTCTGCAGCTCAGCGGAAGCAGACGCCAGAGGCCTCTCAGGCCATACCAGCATCTCTGCGATGGACAGCCCTGTGCCCAGTGCCCAAGCGTCAGGACAGTCTCCGGTGAGCTGGGGTAAGTGGTCGGCTCCTCTCTGCTAACTGGTAGGAACAGCTATGAATCCTACAAGCCTCAGGGAGACCCACCTTCTCTGCACTTTCTGTGCACAAGGATTTCCTTCCTTCTCCTCTAGAGGGCCAAGCATGTTTAAAGTGGCTTTCATTTTTTTAAAAAAGATTTCGCGCACGCGTGCGTGCGTGCGTGCGTGCGTGCGTGTGTGTGTGTGTGTGTGTGTTTAAATATATTTTTACTGACTTCAGAGAGGAAGGGAGAGGAAGAGATAAAAACATCAATGATGAGAGAACCATTGATCGCTGCCTCCTGCAGGCCCCATATGTGTGTGTGTTTTTAAATGTTATGATCAGGAAGCATATTATTGTTCCTCCAAGGTTAAGAGTTTTCACTGACAGAAAATCAAAACTTTCAGAAAACCACCTGCATAACCTTGTTCAGCTGCTGAAGCTTGGTGTTTGCAGACACATCAACTGCCTCTCCAGTACGAACAATCACTCCACCCATGATCGACGGATCAACCTTAACTTCCAATTTCAGTATTTGGCTTTTGCTTAGGAAGCTCTACAGGACCATTTTTAATTCAGAACAAGGCTTCTTCCTCCAGTGATGCAGTGGTCACTGCATGGCATGCTCCCCGGGGACACTCGTCGCATTAAGAAGGGGTACCGTGTTCAGCCAGCAAACTGATCAGGTTGGACGGGAGGGTGCGGTCATGTCATTCAGGCTTTTCACTGTAATGGAACGCTTTCTATGGAGATTTGTGCTGGACAGCCATTCTGGGTTCCTTCAAGATTTGTGCTGCTCTCAACAATTCCTTTCCTCCTTGCTCTAGTTTATTCTGTTGGATGCAGTAGAAGAAAGAGCAGTGAGGGCCCTAGTGCCCTTTGATAGCACACGACTGAACAGGTGGTCTCACAAGTCTGGCAAACGGCTGACCACAGATGTGCTGAAGCATCACCCCTGCTGGGGGAGCCCAGACACTGCCAGGGGAGCCTGGACACTGCTGGGGAGGGGGACTGGACACTGTCAGGGGAGCCTGGACACGGCTGGGGG